AACTCCCCTATGCAAATAAAGAAACGAGGAGCACTCAACTTTCCAACTTAGCAAACGTAAATTTAAAGCATATATTTTCTACTAAAAACTAAAATACACTATGTTGATAAAGGTATTGAGACACATAGGAGGTGGCGAAAGTAGCTTTTATTAGCGGTTTTCAATACAGAATTGGGCTGCCTTTGGCCTAAATCACTGAAGAAACTCTTCTAAGCATGCTATCGACCAAATTCCGATATATGCGGAGGAATGTTCTCAAGCCCAACACCACAGTAGTGAATGAACACCGGCAGCTGTGATAATACTTGGACGTCATTCTTGGATTGCCAATGAATGGAAGTAAGTGTTGTGGACTAGTGATTCATTGTGCACCATCTGATCGAATGGCAGTTGCTTGAAGAACTATTTCTACACGACTTCGTCATCCCAATAGTGAAGTTTGGAGAAAGCTCTGTTATGATGTTGGGTGTTTATGCTGTGAAGGACTAGGGACATTACAGCGAAGTCCACCCTCAATACCAGCGAGTACAGGGCAATGCGGCATTATCTGTCATGTAGCGGTACTTTGGAACAGTTCCGTGTCTACCAGTATGGCCGAGCCCTGTACTATACAACACGCGGTGTTGACAGCGGCGGGGCAAGACCTAAATTTGCTGTGGGCAAGGTACATTTCGCGAGGCCCTCTGGTGGCGCAAGAAGACGGATTTTATAAAATAAAAAGCAGTTGAAACTGTCTGCTTTTAGCCTTACTGAACTCCTTAATAATTGTATCGTAATTCAGCTTATATGCTATATATGCTTCAATAGATATATAATATATATATGCTTCAATAAATATATATATATATAGATATAAAACTGCCAAAGCTGAAAGTCTTTCCTGACCCATTGTATTTCTTAAATAATCTTTTATTAGTTTTAATTTTGAAAAGCTCAGGCAGTACTTACCGGTATTGTTAACAAAATTCGAACGGCAATGTAAATATTGGGTAAATTTCTTTCAAGTTATTTTCTGTTATGTATTGGAGCAGCTGTTTCACATCTTTAATGAAGTTGGGTAAATTTGGGATCATTGTTTGTAATTCTTAATTCATATAATTCGTAAGGTTGTAAGTCACTGCTCTCACTCACTCGCAGGACTGAGTGTGAGTCTTGACAGTTTTTTAATATTTGCTCTTTTGGAATATTTTTTAACTTACTTAGATCATAGAGAAAATCAAAATTTTCAAAATGTTCATTTAAAGACATAATTCCCGAATCCATATTGCTTATTATAGAATCAATCATGGTGTTAAAAAAATCTGTTTCATAGCTGCTTTTGGGAGACTGTATAGGTTGATCGCTGCCTTCATCATCGAACATCCTTTTCTTTTTGGCTACCGTTTCGTTTTTGAAGTCTTTTGGCAGTTCATAACTGCTATTCTCAATAAATTGACGAGCGTCAGACAAGCATTTTTCGAATTCAGTTTGTCAATATTCTTCGATTTAGTCACAAAATGTACGCAAATGTTCAAGAGCAATGCTTAAATGGACTCGTAAAGATTGCCATAATTTGCTTATGATATTAACACGCGATAATATCTCATCTAAACTGAGCATTTCGTTTAAAACCGAATCACAATCACTGAGTGTGTCTGATTGTTCCGTTTGATTTTTTAAGCTTTCGATGCATTCAACATCAAATTGCAATAATACGGCCTTCACTGCCTCGATTCTGCTTTCTCACCTTGTGTCTGATAAAGGCTTCATAGTAAGCTTTGCTGGAACTAGAAAATAGCAAATAAATTTTCTGAATAAAACCAAAAAATGATTTTGCTGCCACAGAAGAATTAGCTGCGTCTACCAACAGCAGACTCTAGCTATAACAACCGCAAAATGTAAAAAAAATGCCCTGGGATTAATATTTAATATTCGAGTTTTAACTCCACCATTTACGGGATACTTTACTGCGATACTTTGATTGGCTTTCTAGCCGTTGAGAATCGTGAAAGTAACGTAAACAAACACAATGGGAAATGCCCCCACCAGTGGGCGAGTGGTCTCGGTTGCCGCTCATAGCGGTGACCAGACCCTAAACACTGGGAAGTTCGGTCGTGGGTTCGCGCCGCGATCGGACAGGCTGGCTGCTTGGAGTTTTCCGGGTTTTCTCCATGCCAATAACGACTGAATAGGAGGCCAGTTCCCCATAAAAGTCCTCCCGGAAGGCATTATTTCCCGCGCGTACGTATAGGCCGTTTGGATACGTCTGGCAAATCGGTCGCATAGCGATCATATACACACAAGTCTACTCGGAGAAAGAGCCTAAATTGAGCTAAAATCTCCATATAAACAACACTGAAGAAGAGACAGAGACAATGGGAAATTCCCAGCTCTGGCTGGCAAGGATTCCCCGCGATAGCAACCCAACGCCAGCAAATGTTGCTAGACAAATAAAACAAATTTGGTATGTCAATATATTTATCGTTTTATGACGAGTAAAATTTTTTCGTTGAGTTTACGGCTTTTATGTAATGCATAAACCTTCGAAGCGCGGGGCCCCTCGGACAGCGAGGCCGTAGGCGGTGGCCCACGTCGCCCACGCCTTACGCCGCCTCTGGGTGTTGAGGCTAGTTTGAGGAGCAGAACATCCGCAAGCTTATTTGGCTAGCTCCAAAGTCAATACCTTAATCCCATCAAGTATCTCTGGGATGAACACTGGAATGCCATATCCGTGGTCCGCCAGCAGGTTCATCGTCCACTGCAACAATATCTGTCGCTCTGCTATCGTGATCTTTCATGCAGTTTCCTACAGATGGTTCTAGTGCTAAAGATGTTCCAATCGCCTATGCCCTATGAGATCTCCTAGGAGACTGTTTTGGCGGATGATGAGCTTGACGCCTTCACCTCTCGTACAATGCATCATTGTCCCGTTCAGACAGTAAGAGGCCTTCCAGAACGTGACCCCACTGTAAGGCACCACTTGGTTTCCACTTCCAAACATTGCCAACAATTGACTTTGGTAGGTCCAAAAGCGCTGCAATGGCCGTGATGATTGTTTGCTTGGATGGAATCACACCACTATTTCCTGTTGGAAGTCTGTCAACTTTGTATCATGCTTCACCTGACGGTATCTGTGCCGAGAGATGTCTGTGCCATGTGTCTCCTTTATACGTAGTGTCCGCGGTCCCCCGACCATTTACACAAATCACATTCGCTTGACAATAATGATGTTTCAATACTTTTGTCAGCATAGTGTATACTTGATAATAATTAGTTTTGATCATGTTAGATAATATTTTACTTTACATCATACTTTCCCTGTTCAATCGTTATGTTATCATATTATATATAAAAATTAGTAGAAATATTAATAATTCATAATGTTTTAAAGTGTGTTATCAAATTGACTATTCTCAAGTTTCAATGACGTTACCTGCTTAATTAATTTTAAACAGGTAACGTCACTGATACCACTGTTTTCTTTCATGTAGAAACTTACATGGGGTCGTAGGCGTCCGCAGATAGGCAAACGGGACACTTAAGTCTCCCTGAGGTCGAGTAAAAAATTCCAAAAATTATAATCGTAAAAATGATCGAGATATGTAATCTTACACTCTCGACCAGGGACGCTTTATCTGTCTTTAAAAAACTCCCAAAAATTAAAAAAATGACGTGATTATTTGTCTCTAAGCTTTGTCCCCCTGGAAAATTTTCTGCCAACGACCATGCATAAGGTACTTTTATAAAATAATATACGTCTGTTTACACTGAATATTGCTGGATACAATAATAATTTTTCGTAATTTTATGCAGCTACATTTAATGAAATCACTTATTAATTCGGATTTGTTTATTTAAAGTAAGATGACAAAACTTGATTAGAGTAACAGTTTCATTTGTTTATTTTTATAAAATTATTTTCTTATCGTCTGTTAGTTCAAAAACAAAGTAGGCTATTTCATTAACAACCAAATGAATTATAGATACTTAGAACATGACATTGTTTCTGCTTGATATTTATAGATATCATTGAATATCTACATGAAAAGTTCTCTCTCGGGCTAATAAAAAGTTTTATTTTGCAATTACTGTATTCGCAATTATTTATCGTTAATAACATATAACATTCATTTTTGTTATTATTAGTTCTGTATCATCAGTGGCCGAGTGAATAAAACCTCTGAACAAGTAGTTGGTTGTGGATTCGCAAGGAGTTTCCCGGGTTTACTTCATGTTTGTAACAAATAGGGGCCAAGTTTCCTTTAGGAAGTCCTCCCGGAGGCATCTCCTCGGCAGATCGCCCATGTGTTGCGTTGCCATAAACCAATAAACCAAACCAATTGTTAGTTCTATCAATAATATTTTGAGTACCCAAAAATGTGAAGGTGGAATAGTTGCTACTACAAAATATTTTACATGCAGAAATAATTTAAATACATTTTCAATAAAAATCTTAATGTAGTATAATATATCAGTACAGAAAAGATAGTATATCATTTAAACATTTATAAAACATTTAACATTTTTATTGAAAACATAGTTAAATTATTTACATACATATAAAATATTTTGTAGAACCAACTACAATATTGTTTACTCCAATTTCACGCTTAATTAAATATTATAAGAGATTAATAATTTTGATGATTTATAATAAATAATCAAAATTAGTGTAATATAATCTAAGAAATGGAAAATATTTTGCAAACTACATATATATGTATATAAAACATCTATAAATATACAGATCTTCAACATATTTATTCTAATTCAAAGAAATGATTATCTAATGAAAATAACGCCGAGACAATGTAGTAACAGTAGCAACAGTAATATCGCAGATGTGGTCAGTATCATTTGACAATACAAAGAAATTCGCGACTATTGGGCGACATCTTATCGCGCTTATGCTGCAAATTACACTCCACTTGTCCTGATAGTTGATGGGAACAAAAGTACATCGGATTTTCTATCTATCGTGAGAATAGTAGATAGCGATAACTTAATTACTATCTTAACTCACGATCTACTCAGTTGCCTTCCTGCCGTTTTGCATAATAGACTATACTCCTAAATAGATTTTGGAACTCGTTTCTTTCTAAACTCTCCGTTTATTCAGTATACAGGACAGGCCGAATATAATATCGTTTAAATATAAAAGTGAGATATTGTCCACTTAAATTTCGAGATCGGCCAATTAGATAATCGGAAATCGAACGGCCTTATCTATCCGTAAACACGATTGGTGCTTTTTGTGAATGAAATGAAAGAGATGAAAACAGATAAAATTATTAACAGTTTACTTTCAACATGGCCGGTATCGAATTACAAAATGAGAAGCAATACAGTACTCTCAGTCAACGTGCAAGAGCATTTTCAGTCGATGCATTATTGGGTCACGATAAAATAGAAAATTCATCTGGGAGAGATGTGCAAAGTCGTGTTCCTGTAAAAGGTGCGTGTCTTATTTCTTTATTATTTATTTTATGCTTTGATATTCTTTCTTTGCTAAAATATACCCGCAAAAGATATATTTGGGATAAATTGCACGAGAAAAATTCCTGATGTTGCTCATCCGGATTTGATTCAGAATCCTTCAAAACTGTAGTCTGTGGCCATAACCGCTTCGGTCGCCCGGCCTTCCCTACTTAGGTGTTAGACAAGTGAAGAAAACCTGAAAACTCCATGAAGCCAACCCGGGATCAATTACCAGCGTTAAGTACTGTACTTTCATCCACTCCGCCGTCTGTGGGTCCATGTCACGATGACGTTTCTCATTTTAAAGTATGTTGACCGAATCTCTTGTACAGTACCGTATAGTACATCAGACACTTTGGCAGCTCGTACCAATTTACTAATGAGTCTGAAGTCGAGTCTTTACATGCTGATCGCTGTTACTTTCACTGGTCAAAAAGGAAATTAAATCATAACTTATATTATAATTGACAGTGTGATGCTTTTTTTTTATTAATAGAAATTTTTAATAGAATTTTCTAAAGGAGACACTGATGAGAAGTTTTCATTTACCTTATTTTCTTTAAAATTTTATTTATAGAATGATTTAAACTTCAGTTTTGCCTGCCTATTCAGTATACTAACGAAAATACTCAGTATAAGAATTATACTGGGTATTTTTGTTCAAGAAAACAAATCAGCTTTATACATAAATAAATTTGAAGAATTTTTCAAAATTTGCGCATTTCACATATTATGTTTGGTTTAGGCAAAGCGATACATGGCGATCTGCCGAGATGATTCCTCCTGGAAGAACTTTTATGGAAAACTGACCCTTATTTAGGTGTAACAAACGTGAAGAAAATCCGAAAACTCCACGTGGCTAGCCTGTTGGCCAGGCGTGAACCCACGACCAACCTCTATTCAGTGGTTTTATCCACTCGACCACTGATGGACTCTCGCATATTACGTTGTGATTTATATTAATTACATCAGCAAGTGAAGTAGCGTTTTTAACTTTTCCGGTAACATTTGGTGGCTTTATCTGTTACAATATTTTATTAAACAGAATTTTTTATATTTTTAATTATTATAAAATAGCAAAAAATTTAATTTTGAAGGTGGGGGAAAAATTGTAAATGCTAATAACGAGTAAAATCGTCATTTAAGTCCGACCCTACTCGAGATATGACACGACCCCCTGTATCTCCCCACCACTCGACCTTTAACCACCAAAATTTACTAGCATCAATCTCCCTAATACATAAACCTCCCTGCAAAATTTCAGAAATTTTCGACAAAAAACACAGGAGTTATTAAGCTTCAAAGAGTGTGAACGTTTTGTTCACCCTCTTTGAAGCTTACTCCCCATACACACACACACACAGACACATACTAACATTCATACATACAGAAAGAAAACTCGAATTTTTTGCATTTGCCGACGTTTCAAGATCTCCTGACTCCAAAAATATCAGGAGACCTCGAAAAAATCTTGGGGTCATTGTTTGACTGATCACCATACTTTCCTTCTGATATACGTAACATCCGGGAAAGTAAAATTGCTTGATTTCACATAAAATTCAATGATCTTTTGCATAAAAACTACATGAATGAAAGCAACAGATCCTGAATATTTTGCAATATAATTATTTAAATCCGGGATTTAATGCTTGATTTAGTCACCTGTCTTTCACAGCTTGTTAAATCGAATTATGTCAAAATCTTTCAAAATTGACTCATTTTTATAAATAAATTTATTTGGTTGCATCTTCAAGAATTTTGATTCTTGAACACTTGTTAGTGTTTCTGTTAGATGATTCGTGAGTGAAAAAAGTTAGTCAGCAATATAAACAACGAACATGAAAATCTTTTAAAGTCAATTTACATTAACCAGGTCTACGAAAGTTATGAATATAGATTATCCTGAATTTAATTTTGTTTAGACAATGTTGTCAAATTATTACTAAAATGTGTCAAAGATCACTGTAAAGCGTTGTTAAACCTTAAATTTTTACTTCGTTTCTGAATATTATCCTTGGTGCTTTGTTGTAGCAAGCCTACATAGGTTATATAAATTTGTATAGAATGACGCAAGATGTTCTAATTTCAATTATATATTACACTCTGACTTGAATATAGTTGTATGAAAAATCACTAATGGTGTTCTATAAGAAATAATTCATTTTATAGATTTCTATTTTAAACTTTCTATTGGCCTATTACAGTGTATTAAAATGTCAACTATTACAAGTTAAATATATTACAATATAATCCTTAGAAAATGTGCATACTAAACACAAGTCACGGGAAAGTTTATACAGGACGTATTTTTTACAAAAGAATTTAATGGAGAAGCTGCTAAAGAATGTCTAACTTGTTATGTAAGTTAATATAAAAAACTAACAAACCAACTGACACTTAGATTAAAAAGTTATCCAAAATTAAATGCATTAGCATAAATATTATGGCAATTTTATGAAGTGATTCCAAAAATAAAATACAGACTTCAAACATTAATTTAGTCTTTAGATTTATTTTTTTTTACTATGTGAAAACTTAATTTTTTACGCAATCGACAGTACTAACGACAAATAACAACGGTAGGGTTTTGATTGAATTTCAGGCTTAGGCCTGCTGCTCAAATATGATTGCGATCAGAAGTGAACTTTACAAATTTTGAAAATCATATTTTAGTTAGCTATAAAATCTTTAAGACCACCAATTCGATTTTGCTGAAATATGTATTATTTAATAGATATTTTTAATGTAGTGTATAGCACTTATAATCAGAAGGCCACATCATATTTCAGAGAGATTTCATAAGGCCCCATTTTGTATTGCAGCCTGCCAAAGTATACAGCTTATATTCGGCAAAGTCTTACATGTATGAAAAGTATACATATATCATAATTTAGATAGATGTTTATATTGAAAAAAGAAAGATCAGAAAAAATATTTTATTTGTTCATCTAAAAATTAAAAAGTTTCAAACTCTTAAAATATACCGTTTTAAATTTTACAGGCTGCACTAGAAGACACCAAAAGGCCACAGATTCTCCATTTACATGTTTAATTTACAGGTGGTATATACTCACCATATAAACCTTTCATTCTTTGCTATATACTTTATGGTAGTAATATTTCCAATTTTACTTTTTCCTAAATAAATATGCAGGAAAATTTTATGAGAGCATCAGTAGAACAATATTTTAACAAAATGAAAAATTCATTACATGAAAATCAACTCATTAACTTAGGTACTTGACGGTAAACTTTGTCGAGCACTTTAAGGTCCAGCTAATCTGCAACTTTTATGATGGATATTCGTAAATTATCCATAAACAAGACGAGCTAATCTTGTATATGATCCAAAATAGTTACGATTACTTTCATTAGTGAAAAATATTTCTAAATACAGTGATTATAGGGGATTGAAAAATACAAACTATTATAATATATAAAGTTATTATTTAGATCATTTATAATTTTATTTATGAATCTGTTGTCGGTAGTCACAACCAAGGATCAAGAGTAAGTCAGACGTTAACCAATAAACATTCACATATTTAGTAAAACGAATGGTAATTGATTGGCTTCTGACTGATTTTTTAAATGTATGAAACTTTTATAAAACTGTTATTCTATAGTTAAGGATTTCATTTTTAAGCATATATTTGTGATTTTAATTTAAACTTGTAATTATTATGATTAAATAATGTAGTTTTATTAATAAATTTATAATTATTAGTACTGTATTATTTAATACTAATAATTATAAATTTAAATAAAAATCTAAATAATAATATTCGCGTAAAATTATACACCATTTAAGCTTTTTTTTAAATTTTAAATTATGGACTAAACTGAAAGTGTCTTTAATATTTATTTCTCGCGATTCAATATACTTTATACATTTTTAATAGTCAAATTAGTTAAAGTAGCATTTATATTTCGAAATAAATTTAATGTTTATGTATAGTTAATTATCAAATAATATTGTAGATGTGTTTACATATTTCACGAGAGATTAAATATCATTGTAATCGTAATCTGAGTGACGAAATTTAAGGCATTGGGTAATGTAAATAACAGTTATTCGTCTTAAAATTATCTATCGATCAAAATAGCACGATTTTGAAATCTTCTCTGAATTTGAATTTAAAATTAATGTGAAAATTTAGTATTAACAACTCACTTGTAATGGAGGATATAAAACACGATTGGGTTGTTCAATGAATGTAGAATGATTCATTCAAAATTCGTAAAAATGTCTTGCACGTTTGTCTGTAATTAGCGAGAAGCAACTAAAAAAGTCGCAATAATATCAGAACGTAATCATCTACCAGCCACTGAAAAGTTAAGAAAAATTAGATTTAAAAAAAAGACTTTTTTAAAATACAGTTTTCATTTGTATATTTATATATATATCAGTAAAATAGAAATTTAAAATTGTATTTGACTATGATATTCGTTCGTAGGTGATAATTTTCTTAACAAATGATAATTATCATCATAAGCATCATCATCTGCTATGATTAACGAATATTTTCTCGTCTTTATTACGATATTTCTTGTAATTTCTGCTTTTCATATCTGTTCCATTCAAATTGCAAATAACAAACTACATTTAATTTTTGTTTTTCAATGGCGAAGACTACGAAACGTGAAAGCGAATAGTGCATCAGCCATTGGGCGCATTGCCTGTTAATACAGCTGCATAATCCAGCCAATGATATAACCTGCTTCATTTGAAACGGATTATATCATTGCTTTGATTATCCTACTGTATTAAAACCGCTTTGTCAGACAATGCGTCCATTGACAAATTAAAACATATACAAATTAATTTCGGAAAAAAGTATTAAATTTTTTTTAATTTGTACATTATTATTCGATTAAAAATCAATCAACAGTAAAACATTTGCCTATTTTACCAAATGTAAACCGAATTATAAAAGAATATTTAATTAAATTGGTAATTATTGGAACGAAGATAAAAAGCCAATTAACTGTTCAGTTTTTCTTAACTTTTTCTGCTGGGTGAACAAGAACAAGTCTTTAAACAAGCCCTCAGATTGAATTTAATAAAAATAGAAATATCTTTTTTGTGATTTTTAGTCTTTTCTTTTTGAAGAATCTCTCGATTGTGACATATTCTTTAAGCTAGAAAAAAATCCGATTAATCTGATTAAAGCGTGTCTAACTCTCCCGTTTAATTATGAAATGTAAATTGTAACAAAATGGGTCAATTGTTAATCAAATTTCAAGCAAAATTACCACTGTGTCTTTCGATTACTGAAGCTATTTATTTTAGAAAAAATAATCATCATCGTACGAATAAAGATTTTTTTTTTTTTACAAGCAGATGTGATACGAAACGATATTAAAATGAAACTCGTAAATTGTTCTTTGTGGTTACAATTTCATCGTCTTGAAAATGAAATGATCATCACCAAAGCCGGAAGGTATGATTTTTTTTATCAATTAAACGCTCTTAAAACTATCAAAAGAACAAAAAATTAACAATAAGCCTTTAATTCCTTTTTAAAAAATATTTAATACTATTACACATTCGTAGAATATAATTACAATGAAAAAGATAACCCGTTCATTGTAATAATATTCCACGAATATGTAATAAAATATATTTGTATTAAACAAAAAGATATTTTATTTCAGGCGCATATTTCCTAGCCTGAAATTTGATGTTTTCAACTTGAATCCAGATGCTTATTACTTATTATGGATGGATATTGTGCCTGTAGATCGACATCGTTATCGTTACGCATTCCCAAAGTACGTCACTAAAACATGTAAAAAACCAATTCCGAATTTTAAATTATTATTAACTGTTTGCTCTTGGTTCAGTTCCAGGTGGACGATAGCAGGAAAATGCGAAACTCATTCGGATTGGAATTTGTATATTCATCCTGACGGGGTAGCGCAAGGTAGCCACTGGATGTCTCAGAGCGTGGCTTTCGATAAAGTTAAATTAACGAATAACAAAGAATGTAAACAGAAAGGACAGGTGAGCACGTTTGTTTAATTGTCAACACTTTAATTTTCCACTAATTATCAATAACATGACAGATAGTTCTAAACTCCATGCATAAATATCAACCACGTCTCCATATCCAATTAGTAGACGTTAGGAATAGACAAAATGCGGCGCCCAATGCAAAGACTTCAAGACATTTCGAATTTATAGAAACTTCATTCATAGCCGTTACCGCTTACCAGAACCAGCAGGTAATGTAATTCAAGTTTAAAAGGAAGAAGTTAATCAATGTTTAATGAAATTTTACGTTGCAGATTACCACTCTGAAAATCCGCTCTAATCCATTTGCGAAGGGTTTCAGAGATGCCATCAAAATCAGGTACGTTATCATTAGTATATATATACTGTATTCTTCGAAGGAAATCGCTATCGAGTGTTAAAAATGCTGTGTCGAAATTAATTATTATTGGCGAAATTAGTTGCCTATCATTACATGTCTATTCAAGTTTTCCTTCCAAATCAAAATCACGAACCGAAAACGTCGTTTAGAAACATATTTTTCAAAAATTGCATGATACTTCGACCTTATTTTGAAGGTTATTGGCGATCAACAAACTTTAATTTTAAAATTGACACATTAGCGGCGCGACGTCAATCTGCTAGATAAATTTACGCCATGCGTAACCATACAAAAATAGCAGTCGCCAAGACAGACTACTCGAAAAAAGTTGTTTGTCAGCGTCCCGATGGCGCCATTGGTTAAATCGTTGTTGTTGGTCTTCGTAAATATCAGAGCCATATCAATGTCACAGGATCGCTACCGTTTGACTTCACACCTGTTATCGGCGATAGACGCCAAACTGGAGCCAAATCTAATCTATCGATTACTTGACAGGTGTATGTCCCGGTTTTGATTATTTCCTATCGCTAATTTATAGTAGTGGGGGGTAGAACTTGTCGACACTTGGTCTTATCTCCAACTGTCTGATTACTTTTACTGCTGAATCGTTCCTTGATTAAGTGGCGCCATTCAAACGAACAACTTCGCCGATAACTCTCGAGTGTCCGAACTTTTAGACATTTTTCTTCTTCCTGCTTTGTAAACATCTGAAATAAAGGGTTAAAATTTGTTTGGAAAATCCTAACTGGCATTCAACCGTTTCTGAGAAATAGTAGGGTTTCCCAAAATTCTAACGTTGATTCTGGGAAGTCTCGATATACATCGATGTAGTCTCCAAACAATGCGAATATCAGTAAGGTTACATAGATGCAGACTTGTATAAACATTTATAGAGCAAACTAGATATCAGCTGAAAATTGGCATTACTGATTTAAGTGAAAAACAATTGTGTCAAATCAATATCTATTAATATACTTTCTATGTCAACTGATGTTTATCTTACTTTATTATACAAGAAATATCAATACTTTATGACAAATTCTTTAAGCTATAATAAAAAAAAATTATATATTTAATAATTATTATATTATAAAAATGATTACATGTATCTATTTAATCCAAAATAATTTAAAATTTCTGAATATCTGTTATTTTCCATCTTTTAACTCTTTCCACACTGTGGGCACTAAGAAAGCCCATCGTAGGTTCGGCCAGGTTCACAATGGGAGCGACCGGGATGAAAGACGAGGAAGGGACACGATATATTCGGTGCTTACCACTCACGAAAAATTCCTAGATTCGGTCCCAAGTCTCAAGCGGAAGGCTAATGCAATTTATAAGTAATGGCGGATTTAGGTATGGTTGATTGGGGTAATCGCCCGGAGCAGTGGCGTAGCGAACATAACTGGCGCGCGGAGCACGACACTTTATTGGCGCCCCCTCCCCCCTCCATAAACAAATCTTGTTTGTCTTGGAGATCATTTGGCGCCCCTCTGCGAGTCGCACCCGGGGCATGATAGGCCCCCTTGTCCCCCCCGCTACGCTAGTGCCCCGGAGACACGTTTTTAAATTGTATAAAGGTATCAACTATTAATTAGTTTATTATCCCGTTTAATTAGAAGCAGTACCCTAACTTTTCCTAGAGGGTAACTACTCCAGATGTTAGATAGGTATAGTTTTTTTAAATTGGTATTCTAATGAGAACCGGTGTTTAAAACCAGATGTGGCCGCTGCCTAGATCATATTAATTCAATTTTTGACTGTCAGCCCCTCATGACATGGGTGTTGTAATCATATCAAATTTTGGATGTTCTGATTTTGATAGATAAGCATAAATTTTGATCACTAAAATACGTTTACACTGTTTTTGCGATGATACATACCTGTGTGTCGCACACGAGTATCTCAAATTTTACTAAACGGGTTGATACAAAATTTCATTTTTAGCTTTCTTTCATCAATATCTCGATTTGATCAATCTTTGATATTGATCAGTCAATAATCGAAAGTGACACTTTCTTAGTAATGTTTTCTATAATAGTTTTTCAACATATGCGATTCTTTACTTGACCAATCGCGTTCAGATTTCTAACGACGTATAAATGTGCACCAAAAATATTCAAAATCAAATGACAATTACGCTCTCTAGCAGTCGGTCGTTCAATTTGCCAGGCTCATTGTCTTTACAATGAGCCTGGCAAATTGGAAAATCATCTTTTATTTACTATTCAGCCATTTCTTAGGTGCTTTTCAATCAGCTCACAGAGCTTTAGGCCAGTGTTTTTCAACCTTCTTGAATACATGACCCCTTTACAAGTTAAAAAATTCTGGCGATCCCCCAAGGGCCATATTTTAACTATATCAGAGATTTTAAAAACTACGTATTTAATTTTCTTTCTTTAAATATCGATCGAAAAACCAATTGTACTGTAAAATAAACAGGCACAGCCTTGTCACTGAAATTCTAGATTTTTAATTGTAGTGTAGGACCTACAAACACTTGTCTTTTTCTTTCACCCACGACCCCCCCGTGTAAGGTTTGCGACCCCCATGGGGATAGCGATCCATAGGTTGAAAAACACTGCTTTAGACGATTAAGTGAACTTCAGTTTGTTCAATTAGTCCGATCGATTCTAGACTTGCTGTAATACGCCGAAGACACGGAAGGTTTATTACACAAGCAGCAGACAGATATCTAAAAAAGATTATTATTGTAAAGTAATCTTAAAATAATTAACATAATACAACATAATGATAGAAAAATGAATAATATAAATTAATAATCAAGAATAATGAATGATAATTTTAATTGGAAAAATAATGATTAATTACATGATATGACAATGAATAATGTATAGTAACTGTTATATAAAAAATTAATAATGCTGAATTTTTATGAAAATAATATTAAGACTTTTTTCAGAGTTAATTGTTTNGTTTTGTTATGGGGGGGCCTAGTGGAGGCCAACCTGACACAAAATTGAATTATTTCAAATTATTGTTCATTATTGGGCACCGAGCAAGCCGTTCACCTTTTTTTAGTATTCAAAACTTTTATTTTAGCTTTAGGTTTTTACAAATCGACTCAACACTTTTTCGGCTGTGATTTCCTGGGGAGGGCACCAGGTTCCCTGGGAGGGGCCGTGCCCACCCAGGCTCCCCCCTCGCTACGCCAATGTATATTTGTGATATCATAATGAATAATATACTGTAACAGTGCTATTTTCATAAAAATTAATTATTATTAATTAATTTTCGATATAATATTAAATTGCTAGAAGACTTTTTTGTTCAAAATGGTATAATAATTAGGAACAATGAAAAATATTGATTTACAGTTTTCACTTGGGGCACAAACGTTCCATTTATTTATTTGCTGTTTGTTTGGTTAAGTTACGGCAACGCAACACTTGGGTACTATCTGCCTAGGGAATGCCTTCCGGAAGGTCTATATATGGGTAACTAGCCTCTATTCAGGCGTTACAGACGTGGAGAAAACCCGGAAAACTCCAAGTGGCCAGCTAGTCCTGGCGAGGCGCGAACCCACGACCGAACTCCCAGTGTTCAGAAAACAAAACCACTTGGCCACTGGTGGGCCCTTATTTATTTGCATAAGATGAACTGCTGACATTTTGATGTGCACAATTGGTTTACCTTCTTACACGTGCACTTTTTCGTTTGACATTTTTAATTTTTTTATTTTTTGATACTATACACTTACAACTGGCAAATCTTTGTCCCAAACTTTGATTTTTTCGCCACGGCTTCACATAGAGATACATATGTTTCTGTGATATCTTCAAGAATTTGCGTCCCAGAAATCTGGAAAGCAGTTCCACTGAACCACAGTTTCTTTCAATTTGATAAACCGTACTTTATGCATCAAGAATTTTTCTATTACATTTTGGCAGTCTAATGGCCCTCGGTCAATCTTTGGAACATTCAATAAAATAAAGTCCCAAACTTCAGGTTTTTGTTTTTTGTAGTAATTTCAATCATTTTTTCTGCTGCACTTTTCTGGTTTCCGTGTGATTGTTGACGTTCCTCTGTAATTTTTTCTTTTGCAAGTGTCGCAAATGTAAACGTCACTAATGTCTTTAGAGATCCTCCTTGCTCTGAGCACAATTCTTTTGAACTCTCATCGCACACGACGAACATAATGTTACGTGTGATTCATTTAGATCGCGTACACAAACAGAACAAGTCTCTCTCTCAAAATTTTCCTCCTGATTTTCGTTTACTTCAACGGCAGCTCGTTCTAAGCTGCTTTCCAGAGCCGTAACTAGGCAGGTGCAACAGGTGCATTCGCACAGGACCCACTTGGAAGGGGGCCCAAACTGCTGTTCACAAGAAATTATAGTTTTAAATCTTAAATTTTTCCTCCTTTTTATTGGCGATCACATTTTGCCTTATTTAGACCCTAGATGTCTGATCACCAGTGTACCCAACTGTGGCGACTTCTAGAGGGACGTAGTGAGGTAGCAGAGACCGCAGACAAATCAGCCAAAAGTAGCGACTTTTGAAATTTTGTTTGTTTATTTTTTGAGAAATTTAAATTTATGTTTATAGTTTTCAAATTTATAGATTTTTTCTCTATAGAGCTCTCTGGCAACGACTAATATTATTACGATATACAAAACTGTATTTCTAGATTTTTCTACAGTGTGCAGAGCTAGAAATCTGTAAAGGTAACATTTTGTAAGAAAAATAAATCTGCCCGGGGATTTTTTTAATTGCTAAATTGCTAAATAGAAAACGTGGTAACTCTCGAATAAAATCTTAGTCTCGAGGTTGTAAAAGGCGTGCAGAAATTCTGACATAACTTTTTGCTTTATAGTGGTACGCATATGTGTTGTATACCTCAACGGCGGATTAAGCGGTAAGCGAACTATGCGGCCGAGTAGGGCCTCGAAGGGGCCCCCGAAATCTTTAAAATGCTACTGAAAAAAGGCTGATTTTTGCTTTCTCTATGGCTCTTCTTTACAATACATGAGTGTTGCTGATTTAAAAAAAATCAGCTGCAGATCTCGCTATTAAATATAGCAAAGATTTAAAAAAGTACGAATTCACAAGTGAAATTGAAAGTTTTAAGTTTGAAGTAACGACTCTTATACAAAATATAGAAACTGCATCTCCGCTTAATATTCTACAGGCTCTTCATGATTTTGGTTTGAATCTTACCCAAATATCAATGTCGCTCTTCAAAATATTTCTAACTCTTCCCGTTTCTATTGCTTCGTGCGAGAGAAGTTTTAGCAAGTTAAAATTAATAAAAAATTATTTATGATCAACTATCGGGCAAGAACGATTGTCCAATATTTCTATTATTTCAATAGAATACATTATCATTAAAAATATTAATCATGTAATTAATGAATTTGCTGAAATGAAAGCCAGAAAAGTTCAATTAAAATAAATCTTATTAAATATCTATTGTAATATATTTGTTTTATTATTTTCCCAAACCAAATAAATTAAGGGACCTAAATGCAAATTCTTGCACAGGGCACAGGAATGGCTAGTTACGGCTCTGCTGCTTTCCATAAGTTACAAACTCTTTATACTGTGAAGAAGATTTGGTGTAAAATTTCTGGTGAAATATTCGTTGACCCTAAATCTAATTTTGGTTCTGATTCAGTGCTGTATAGGGCTTCTGCCTATGTTGATGTTTAAAAGAGTTATTTTGCCACTGGACGAAACAGCAGGCTATTACCCAGTCTATATACTGGTATCATCCATCCACACAAATAACATATTTTCAACACCCTGATTGCATCGCTCTACGATCCACTGGAATTGAGGATGTCGGGGTCTTCCGTGCACTATTTTACATTCAGACCATATAACTGAAGATTGTTCAATGACACTAGCTGGGAATTCTCTTCCATTATCACTCTGCAAAATATAAGGCGTGCCAGTCTAAAAATGTTTTCAGCAGTTCCAGTGCAACTTCCGCTGCACGTTTTGTTTTCAAAGGGCGAAGAACACAAAATTTTGTTTCGTGATCTTGATAGTTCATTAACCATTTGTAGTCTGTATAAGGAGTAGATTGAAAATCAATCAATTCAACTTGGGCCCGAAGATTGAAATCGTTCGTAGTGATTGGTCGTACGACGATGTTGAGACTTCGAATTGCACATTTTATATAGCGATACAAATAAGTCAATAGCCGGTCTTGGGATGTGAGCAAATAACATTTTATCACGACCTCTATGACCTGTTGAGCAATGATATTGAAGTAATATATCAAAATATTCCTCAATAGGAAAAATTACCGCAACGGGATCATCATTGCTTTTTCTTTTCTTAATTAAAACTGGCCTTTCCCCAACCTCCATTGTATAATATTTCCTAATGGGCTAATTAGGAAATATGATACAATGCTGTCCGTACTGCTTGCTACTTTTTTCTTGTCAGGATTTATTGGATCTAAAATTTCACGGACAGCTTCATTTACACTTGAAATCGTCCAAGGTTTTTTTAATTAAACTGTCATTCTTACTCTGTATTCTTTTATTTTTTCATTAAATTTCAACTTTATACAACATATTTCTTCTTTGGAACCATTTATAGTATCATTGTCCCGCATATTTTCTTCGCCAACAAATTGTTTATGAAATTCTATATCAATCTCCATTTCCAAGTCACTCTAAATACAAACACGACACTCAAAATGAGATGTAATTATTTAAATTCTATTAAATATTAACTCAAAAAAGCAACTGCAACTGTTACAAGCACGTTAGCAAACCTGGGGGAAATCATGTTTTCAAGGGATGTTTGAAGACATGACCAATGGTGCTAACACAAAAAGGAAAAAGAGACGTTTTGCTAGCGCTGCAGAGAAGTCACATTACAATAAGCTAGAATCGATCAGGCTAATTAAAAAAGTGAACTTCAGTTTGTTCAATCGCCTAAAGCTCTGTAGACTGATTGCAAAACGCCTAAGAAATGTCAGGCTAAATAGTAAATTAAAGATGATTTTCCAATTTGCCAGGGTTATTGTAAAATGACGGCGCTCTTTACAATGAGCCGGATTTTCCAATTTGTCTACCACAGACACATCAGTTATTTATTAAATAAGAAAATATTCCTTGATTTTTTATAATTTTCTGTCATTATAATTTGTAATTAATGTAATAATTTCGTCCTTTTCCCATTTTAACATCAGAGATTTCCGGCTCTAAATATTTAACAGGCGTGATATGCAAATAAAACTGAACGATTGTGGTGGATACATTTTTACGCGTGAGCTTAAATTATAAAGCGAAGATGTCATCGTAAAATTTTTTAGGCGTATAAAAATCGTTTTAATACTGTTTGTGAAATTACTCTTGCTCAGTTTGCGATTGCTTTTGTTTTATCGTATGGTGCAAATATACCTATGCATAATTTTATACACAATGTTTGTAGCTCCACCCACTAGGTAGGAGTGCATTTAATTAAAACGCTAAAACATACCAAATGTCACTAGTGTCGCATGAGGTTTAGTGATTGACTTCAAGTTGGTCAATGAGTGCGTGAATAATGACTTACAGGTGTTCAAATACAGTTCTTCTGTAAATGGAATTGTTGGAAATGTTTCGAATGCGGGAATGCCTACGATATGTTTCACGAAGTGGAATCAAGAAATAAACGTTTATTTCTTTGTATGTGGAAAGAGAATAGCAAAAAGAATCACAATTATATTACTCTCAAGAGTGTAGGTTTTTTAACTCTTTTCGCCCTGTGGGCACTAAACAAGCTCATTATGGGTTCGACCAGGCCCACAATGGGGCTGCCGGGCGGCGAGGGACGGGGCCCGACATATCCGAACGGACCACACCCCGAAATTCCTGGGGATTTTCCGATCCATCCGGATTCGATCCCCAGAGCGGTGGGCTGCCACCTTGATCACTCGGCCATCCGGCCTTCAAAAGTGTAGTAGTAAATAAATTGTTTGCTGTATTCGTAATTGTTTGTAAACAATTACGAAAATATAAATTTTTCAAATACTGAAAGCACTCCTTATATCGCGTACGTAGGGGGAGAACCCAAATGAGCGGTTTATCAGATGGAGTGATATTACCGCTGTATCTACCCGTTATCGGCTAAAGCGTTTTTATATTTGGAAGGCAAAAAATTAAATACGCGATGTATCGAGGAGCTTTATCTTTATAAATTTAAAATACTCAAAAATAACTTCCGTGAGGTTTTAGGAATAATGAACATTTTCATTTAGTTCCAAGTTTAAATCCAGACAGGAACTCATTGTTTCGTATGTTGTATGCCAACGCCACCTATCGGTGATTTTTACAACTAAATTTTTCGCGTTCCTAAAAAATCTCCCGTACTTACACGATCTACCACGTACTGTATTGTACAGTACTTACCACACAAATCGCAATTCGTTCCGATAATTCTTCCATTTTTTTTACGAATGTTGAAAATTTTCACGGACTTTTCGCCCACCTTGTTTATTGGGAAGAACTTAATTTATACAAAAGGCAAAAAATACAGCATGTGAAAAATGCAATTTTTTCATGTGCGCCACAATGTTGATTCGTCACAAAACACTTCGAGGTCTGAAAATCTTACTCAGCAATGAGAGAAGGAACTGTTGCAGCGCTTGATTCAGCGCTGAACGAGGAAAGTCCTCGATGTTGCGCGCTAGCGGGTGATTTGAAATTGGAATTTCATTGGTAACAAAAAGTGACAAAGTTGATCAACCGAACCTATTCCTATGGACTTAAATTTTTTTAAAGAAAAAAAGCATCAAAATGCCTTAAATTTCTTGTCATATACAAGATCAATCTGAAAAGTTTTGAGACAATAACTGAAGATCAATGTGCGATATACATGTATGTTTATTGCTATTGTTCAAAGTACTATTCTTGATTTCATGAACGTGCCAAAATAAATTTTTATATCTTTCAAAAGATCTGTTTTGGAATGATGTTGATCTCTTTTATAACCCTATTCTGAGTTTGTTACAGAAATTTACTACTACTTTCCCAAACTTAAATTTGACTTAAAGTTAGTTGACAGAGTGAGTGAGTCTGGTGAGTAGGATAGATAAAGTATATTAACACTTACCTTCATCAAAAATACTTCAAAGTTGTAATTACTGCCCTATCACCAGTTACAATGCAAAAAATCAGATCAAGAACTGCATGCAATAGCTATTTGCTGTTGTATGTAATATTCTTACAATAAAATTCATCTTAAAAATTTAATGACTAATATTATTGCCACATCAACTAGGAAGAACTTATTTGTCTACACATTCTGAAAGACAAATGATACAATTATATTCAGCTTGAATTAGAAACTTGTATCATAAATGTGTTTAATATATTAGATTAAATTAATAATTGAGACTATTTTTCTAACTAGAAAAATTTGGCTAAATTTTTGATAATTTTATATACAGAATTTATTAATTCTTCTAATAGATTCAAATAAATTACAGCCTATCTTAATCTGTAATCTCATCTAAATTTGATTAAACTGAAAAATGTTTCAATTTTAAGGAATGTACACCTATCATGTCCCGATACAAAGAATGAGGCTTCATTTCATCATCCAACGGTCAGCATTTTCCCATCTGGTAAGTTTTCATAATTAAATGTAATCTTGTCAAATAATTATGCCAAAAACCAGTAATCTGGAACTAGGTTAATTAAATTGTTTAATGATTTTAAAACTTTGGTTTTTCTTATGTAATTATATAATAATAATAATCTATACAGAGTCCAGTGTTAACATTTGATTATAATATCTAACACAAATTCGTGAATCATTAATTTTATTAACCTACTTCTAAACCATGGATTATAATTATTTGATGATTTAGTTTTTAAAATACTGAATATCATTATAGAATTTAACATTCTTTTATAAATCTTATTTTTATAGAGAACATACTTGGGATGAATTCTATTCCCAATGATACTTTACAATGCATACAGTATCCTCACTATGTTACCCTGTGCAGATTTTGTAATTACTATGACATTTCTACAGGGACGGAGAGATATTTAACGTCACCACATCTATCGCATGCTTGTCAGATGTACATGCCATGTAAGTGAAATATCACTGTGGAGAAATGCATAACAAGATCTTTACTTATCTCAATGACATTAAGTATGGCAAAGAAAACAACTTTTTTTTATAGATCAGCTTCTATTTAAAACGAACATTTTAATTAAATTGTACGTAACAATTGGTAAATGTGAAATTGTTATGATTAAATAATTATGAAAGAAAACTCAAAATATTTCAATTTGCATTTTATTGAAATTTATAACAAGCTTTCTCATATTTAAACAGAATATAAAAATCTAACTGCATGACAAAAGCCACAAAATATACAAATAAGAATTTCTGTACATCTTTAAGCCAAAAAACACATTAACCTTAACAACTATTGTCAACAATTTGGAAACATTTATGTGTTTTTATATACACCTAAATATTGCAAGTTCTTTCTCAAATACAGGAAATTTATTAATTTTTCAGTTAAACACTAAGCAGGATTTAAAAAAAAATTTTATATATTTTTCATATTTATCTATATATATATAAAAATTTCCATATCCAATAACTAACTACATATACAGAAAACTATCTTTTGAAGTAATCTACAAGATTGTTAGATTGTCTACCATCCTTATTTTACAAGATTTTGTTGTTCACTCTCAACAATTTTACAAATACTTGAAAGGCATGTTCGATGGGGATGGAATGATTAATTCGTAAAATATTCAAAAAAATATGAATACAAAAAAACAGGAATCTTGAGTGTGAATTTTGTGGGAAAGATATGATGTTTGTGTGCACGAAATCCCCGTGCTCAAATACAAAATTAAGCAACGTATACATCTCTCTGCAGTTGATTTACAAACAATTGATTGGCCATTGCAGCCATGTAATTTCCTATTTTGAGAGTTCTAATAAATACTAACTTTTGTTGACTAAGCATAATACTTAACCCTTTTAGGATTATCACACCCAAAAACATTCTAAATTGTGATTTATGCTATTAAGATTTGGATAATTACATTGATATTGTCAATAACTCCCTGAAATTCCAGTGGATATGACATGCTGTCAAAACTAATTATAAAAAATACTGTTGTTCTATGAATGTTCAATGCATATTTGAGCAAAATATAAATTATTGCTTACATGTTAAAAAAATTAGCAATTTTGTAGATATAAAAAAAATTTTTATAAAATAGCAATTATTCTTTTATATCATTTAAAAAAATTCAAAATAAATATATACAGATTGCACTTTTTAATTTTGTGCATAAATTCTTTTTTTATGTTGCAAATCATAGAAAACAAAATAATTTGATATTTTTATATTTAGAAACAATTGATTAAAACTTTATAAAAAGAAATTAATTATATAACTTACAAATCTAAGGACAACTGTCATAATATTTCAACCAAGAATAAAACAATTAAACAGATACTTTCTTATATTTAGAAATTTTGGATAAAAACTATGTCTACAAATTCTAGTAAGAAAATAAAATATAGACTATTACTGAAAATGCTAATATTAACATATAAAAATTTAGAAATGAAAGTTAATAGTGATAGGATTTTAAAAAATTTTTAAGCACTTTAATTGATTCATTATTAATAAAATTCTCTTCTTTTAACACATTCACTGCCATGAATGTTCTTAAATTTTGGTCCAATTTAATATTGCCATATGAACATCTCATTATTATTATGCTATCAGATATTAACATCACTTTATATTAAGTAATATTTTACATTGTCAGTTGTAAATTATCATCATGGCACTCTAAAATTTATAGGTAGTGATGTCATATAGCAGTTAGCAAATTAGCTAAAAATATCAATAATAATGCATTGTTTGTGAAAAACTATTTCTATACACTTGATGTTTGTCATACATATTTTTATTTGAACCATTAACTGGAAAGTAACTTTTACTAATTTTTGCATATTGTTTATATACAGGGTGTATCAGAATGACGTTTTAAAAATTTGGGGGATTGTAGAGGATGAAATTTTGAACGTTTTGATATAAGGAACCCATAGCTAGAAATGTGATATAAAGTTTCTACAGCGGTAGGAAGTGCTTGACCGCCCTCCACTTTGGTAGTTACCCTTCCATCCATTGATGTTATGTTATTGTTCTCGACTTCTTCCTCTGAAGTTATGTAAAGTCCCTTGTGTAGCAACACCTGTAGGAACAATTCATGAGCTTACAGAGTGCATTTTTACAGCATTTAATACCATCAGAGGTGAGCATGGCCTATTACAGAGAGTCGGACAAAACATGGTTCGTCGTTGCACATTATGTAATGAAGTTGGTGGTCGTCACATCAAATATTTACTCTAAAGTAGTGCAGCCACTGATTCGATATACAGTTTGATTGTACTCTACTATTTTGTCAATAAAACTTGTCATAAATACTGTATTCTGCTGTTTCATTCAGCATACCAACTGCAAAGTGCTGTAGAAACTTTATATCACATTTCTGGCTATGGGTTCCTTATATCAAAATGTTCAAAATTTTATCCTCTACAATCCCCCAAATTTTTAAAACATCATTCTGATACACCCTGTATATANGTTGTATACCTCAACAGCGGATTAAGCGGTAAGCGAACTATGCGGCCGAGTAAGGCCTCGAAGGGGCCCCCGAGGTCTTTAAGATGCTACTGAAAAAAGGCTGATTTTTGCTTTCTCTATGGCTCTTCTTTACAATACATGAGTGTTGCTGATTTTAAAAAAATCAGCTGCAGATCTCGCTATTAAATATAGCAAAGATTTAAAAAAGTACGAATTCACAAGTGAAATTGAAAGTTTTAAGTTTGAAGTAACGACTCTTATACAAAATATAGAAACTGCATCTCCGCTTAATATTCTACAGGCTCTTCATGATTTTGGTTTAATCGAGTCTTACCCAAATATCAATGTCGCTCTTCGAATATTTCTAACTCTTCCCGTTTCTATTGCTTCGTGCGAGAGAAGTTTTAGCAAGTTAAAATTTATAAAAAAATTATTTATGATCAACTATCGGGCAAGAACGATTGTCCAATATTTCTATTATTTCAATAGAATAAATTATCATTAAAAATATTAATTATGATCATGTAATTAATGAATTTGCTGAAATGAAAGCCAGAAAAGTTCAATTAAAATAAATCTTATTAAATATCTATTGTAATATATTTGTTTTATTATTTTCCCAAACCAAATAAATTAAGGGACCTAAATGCAAATTCTTGCACAGGGCACAGGAATGGCTAGTTACGGCTCTGCTGCTTTCCATAAGTTACAAACTCTTTATACTGTGAAGAAGATTTGGTGTAAAATTTCTGGTGAAATATTCGTTGACCCTAAATCTAATTTTGGTTCTGATTCAGTGCTGTATAGGGCTTCTGCCTATGTTGATGTTTAAAAGAGTTATTTTGCCACTGGACGAAACAGCAGGCTATTACCCAGTCTATATACTGGTATCATCCATCCATACAAATAACATATTTTCAACACCCTGATTGCATCGCTCTACGATCCACTGGAATTGAGGATGTCGGGGTCTTCCGTGCACTATTTTACATTCAGACCATATAACTGAAGATTGTTCAATGACACTAGCTGGGAATTCTCTTCCATTATCACTCTGCAAAATATAAGGCGTGCCAGTCTAAAAATATTTTCAGCAGTTCCAGTGCAACTTCCGCTGCACGTTTTGTTTTCAAAGGGCGAAGAACACAAAATTTTGTTTCGTGATCTTGATAGTTCATTAACCATTTGTAGTCTGTATAAGGAGTAGATTGAAAATCAATCAATTCAACTTGGGCCCGAAGATTGAAATCGTTCGTAGTGATTGGTCGTACGACGATGTTGAGACTTCGAATTGCACATTTTATATAGCGATACAAATAAGTCAATAGCCGGTCTTGGGATGTGAGCAAATAACATTTTATCACGACCTCTATGACCTGTTGAGCAATGATATTGAAGTAATATATCAAAATATTCCTCAATAGGAAAAATTACCGCAACGGGATCATCATTGCTTTTTCTTTTCTTAATTAAAACTGGCCTTTCCCCAACCTCCATTGTATAATATTTCCTAATGGGCTAATTAGGAAATATGATACAATGCTGTCCGTACTGCTTGCTACTTTTTTCTTGTCAGGATTTCTTGGATCTAAAATTTCACGGACAGCTTCATTTACACTTGAAATCGTCCAAGGTTTTTTTAATTAAACTGTCATTCTTACTATGTATTCTTTTATTTTTTCATTAAATTTCAACTTTATACAACATATTTCTTCTTTGGAACCATTTATAGTATCATTGTCCCGCATATTTTCTTCGCCAACAAATTGTTTATGAAATTCTATATCAATCTCCATTTCCAAGTCACTCTAAATACAAACACGACACTCAAAATGAGATGTAATTATTTAAATTCTATTAAATATTAACTCAAAAAAGCAACTGCAACTGTTACAAGCACGTTAGCAAACCTGGGGGAAATCATGTTTTCAAGGGATGTTTGAAGACATGACCAATGGTGCTAACACAAAAAGGAAAAAGAGACGTTTTGCTAGCGCTGCAGAGAAGTCACATTACAATAAGCTAGAATCGATCAGGCTAATTAAAAAAGTGAACTTCAGTTTGTTCAATCGCCTAAAGCTCTGTAGACTGATTGCAAAACGCCTAAGAAATGTCAGGCTAAATAGTAAATTAAAGATGATTTTCCAATTTGCCAGGGTTATTGTAAAATGACGGCGCTCTTTACAATGAGCCGGATTTTCCAATTTGTCTACCACAGACACATCAGTTATTTATTAAATAAGAAAATATTCCTTGATTTTTTATAATTTTCTGTCATTATAATTTGTAATTAATGTAATAATTTCGTCCTTTTCCCATTTTAACATCAGAGATTTCCGGCTCTAAATATTTAACAGGCGTGATATGCAAATAAAACTGAACGATTGTGGTGGATACATTTTTACGCGTGAGCTTAAATTATAAAGCGAAGATGTCATCGTAAAATTTTTTAGGCGTATAAAAATCGTTTTAATACTGTTTGTGAAATTACTCTTGCTCAGTTTGCGATTGCTTTTGTTTTATCGTATGGTGCAAATATACCTATGCATAATTTTATACACAATGTTTGTAGCTCCACCCACTAGGTAGGAGTGCATTTAATTAAAACGCTAAAACATACCAAATGTCACTAGTGTCGCATGAGGTTTAGTGATTGACTTCAAGTTGGTCAATGAGTGCGTGAATAATGACTTACAGGTGTTCAAATACAGTTCTTCTGTAAATGGAATTGTTGGAAATGTTTCGAATGCGGGAATGCCTACGATATGTTTCACGAAGTGGAATCAAGAAATAAACGTTTATTTCTTTGTATGTGGAAAGAGAATAGCAAAAAGAATCACAATTATATTACTCTCAAGAGTGTAGGTTTTTTAACTCTTTTCGCCCTGTGGGCACTAAACAAGCTCATTATGGGTTCGACCAGGCCCACAATGGGGCTGCCGGGCGGCGAGGGACGGGGCCCGACATATCCGAACGGACCACACCCCGAAATTCCTGGGGATTTTCCGATCCATCCGGATTCGATCCCCAGAGCGGTGGGCTGCCACCTTGATCACTCGGCCATCCGGCCTTCAAAAGTGTAGTAGTAAATAAATTGTTTGC